CCCACACTCCTCCTCATATGCCTAGTATCCTAATCAGGCTTTAAAAAAAAGAATGTTTAATTTGGCATTTTTCTTAAATTCGTTATTGACAAATTACCAAAGATCATGGAGAAACGCAATTCTACAAAAAAATCCAGAAAAGAAAGTGGTCACTTTTATAAATATTTAAGCTCTTAAACATCTGATGAAGACAGCTTTGGCTTCAGGAGAGCAGGGGAAATCAAGTGAGGCAAACCAAACTGTTACTTCTCATTTATCTGAAATAGCTCTGATGTGGAGCTTTAAAGTAGGAAGGCAAGACAAGAAAGAAAATGAAAGAACAAAATACTGCAGGCAGCGCAGTAAGTAGAAAGGAGAGGAAGGAGTGTTGTCATGGTAACAAGATAAAACCCAGGCTCCTCCCCAAGCGAAAGATAAAAGCTGTTTTTGTACACAGGTCTCTTCTAGCTTTGCTCTGGGTTTCGACTAATCATTTTCATGCCTCGGTGCACTTGTGTGTGCGTACACATATATTATGCACATTCATTAGTTTGGTCGAAAAGCCAGTTTAACCCTCTGAAATTCCAGCCCTTCTCCAATAATGCCATGATGTGTTTCAGTATTAGAGAAAAATGGATGGAGATGAATATTATTAAAACGCTAAATTTAATCTAAACCTAGAGGAATGTTGAATCTTCTGTCTTCGCCATCACAGTAGCATTAGGAAATAAGGCACTACTGGACAATTTCTCTTTATACAACCTAATGAATGTGATAATTAACACATTATATAACAAAAGGGGAAACCAAGATCAAAAATGCAAACACCTGAAATCTCAGAACTCAGGGGACTGAGGCTGGAGGATGTTCAGTTTCAGGTCAGCCTAGAATACATGACAAGAGACCGTCCCCAAAAACAAAGAGATAAAACCACAGGATATGCATGTGCACATATACGTATTTGTGTATATATGAGTTCTAAGTATTTGCTTATTACACAGCATAGAAATATTAGTAGCTCATTTGAAATTTAAAAAAGAAAAAGAGAGGAAATCATTTCTTTTTAATGTATAATTACTTTTAATGATATATCATCAAAATTACTTTAACAACTAGATGCTTGTTGTAACATTTTATACCAAGTTGATAGATGGTCACAAAAAAATATTTATCCACATCCTAGTGCCCAGAATCAAGGAACATCACCTATTTGGGAAAAGAATAACTACAGATAGAATTATGGATGTTAAAGCAACCGCTCTGGATTACCTAGGGGGCCACAAAATAAGGTGATATGAACACAAAGGTAGACAGATACCAGAGTGATAGGGCCACAAACCAAGGAACGCCTGTATCTTCCAGGTGTGTGAAAAGGTAAGAAACTATGTTGTCACTATGTCAACTGATATGACAATTTGATAGTCCAGGGCAGTGGCAGACTTATGCTTCTAGGATTCTGAGAGAATAGATTTGTTTATACACAGTGAGCAGCCCACGACCACCTGTCACTCAGGCTCCAAGGGAATCCGATGCCCCTGGCCTCCAGAGCTCCTGCATCCATATGCACACGGCCACATACAGACACACATTTACATGCCACTAAAAAATAAATCTTAAAAAGAGAGAAAGGGGAAGCAAGAAATGAAAATCATCAACAGTAAGATGTGAGATATTTCCATGCTACAGCTGACAATATAGGACAAGAAGTGAATGGAACTATGTGAATAACTGCTAGAAATCAATTAGCATTCTGGGACTATGAGTGCACTAGAGATCCATGGGCATTCGATTGTCAGGGGAAATTTTATAGAAGAGATAGAATTGAAATTTGGACTCCTAAATGTGATGAGGATTGGACAGACTCATTTAGGCACAGTCCTGGTGGGCAAAAAAAAAATTAAGAAAATATGTCACTGGAAACCTCTCAGAAATACATATATATCTCCACTAGATATAGAAAAACTGTTCATTTGGGGGTGTGTGGCAGTTCTGATGAAGTTTAACAGGAGAGTGTGATTATTTCCAGCTATTAAGGGACAAAGTGTCTTGATGCAGATCGAGAGAGAGAAAGAGAGCACGTGTATGTGTGTGTGTGTGTGTGTGTGTGTGTGTGTGTGTGTGTGTGTGTATGTGTGTAAGAAAGACTGTAAAAAAGTTGTAGAATGGGGGCTGGAGAGATGGCTCAGAGGTTAAGAGCATTGCCTGCTCTTCAAAAGGTCCTGAGTTCAATTCCCAGCAACCACATGGTGGCTCACAACCATCTGTAATGGGATCTGGTACCCTCGTCTGGCCTCCAGGAATACACGCAGACAGAATATTGTATACATAATAAATAAATAAATATTTTTTAAAAAGTTGTAATATGCTAACAGTCAAAGGACATACATGGAAAGAGACATGTAGGTTATAACAAGGCACTCACAAGTTTCAACCAAGAGATTCCACTTCAAGAAAGTAACCAAAAACTAGAAACAAAAGATGGGTGGCAGTCAAGTGCCGCTCTGCATGGTATGAATATATAGAAATACAGAAAATGGAGAGAAGCAGGTGTCTCCTGAGTCAGAAAGCTTTCTCTTAGTACCACTATGACCAAGCTCCAGCGATGTTTTGCACAATTAGGAAGTTTTTGATGTACTGATAGTTTCTAAATGGCAGCAGTTACAAAGATAAACAAGATATTCAATTCAATTTAACATCATTAAAACACTACAGAGGAGCCTCATCCAAATGCATACGTAACTTAAATCCAATTATACGCCATGGACCAATCATTCACTGCTTAAAAATAGGACTCATTAGCTGGCCCTGGTGGTACACACCTCCAATTCTAAATAAAACTTGACAAGAAGGAAGCAGGAGGATTACCCTGAGTTCAAGGCTAGCCTGGTTTATATACTGAGTACCAGGCCAACAAGACCTATATATTGAGGACTGACCTCAAGAAAATGATATATGTATACACACACACACACACACACACACACACACACACACACACACACAGCATATATATGGCAGATATGACTCCTAAATGTAACCCAGAGATTTCACCTGGGACTAAATAAGGACTAGCAACCCATCACTATTGACAGGTTAAAAAGATGGAAAGAATCAGATGAATATTATATAGAGAGATTTGGATATTCAATTTCCATGCAATTTTAACAGATTTTTCAAGGTAATTCTGATTGTATTTGGGGCTCACTTATGCAGTCTTATGACTCAACCCTGAACATCTAGGCACCATACCTTGCCTGAAAGCCCAGAACTGAAGAGCCTGACAAGAGGATTGCTATGAGTGTGCGGATGCCCAGAGTTACACAGCAAGCTCCTGTCCAGTCAGGCCTATGGAATAATAGAACCCATCTCAAAAAATAAATACTTCTTCACATCATTCAAGACCAGTTTTCTTTGCTGTAAAACACAAACATCAAGACCAGTGATTGTTAATATTGTATGAAAACTTAGTTGGTTAGCAGTGTCAGATGGTTGGTTAAACAGTTTTCTACATGTTTCTGTTTGTTTGGTTGGAGACAGAGTCTCACTATGCAATCACTGTTGGCCTGAAACTTGATATGTAGACCAGGCTGGCCTTGAACTCAGAGATCTGATTACCTCGAGGTCCTGAATAGAGGATTAAAGATGTGGAATATCACAACTAGCCTCTTTTTTTCCCCAATAGGACAAATATTTAAATCACTGGACCTGTAATAAACCACTTCCATAAAGTGAAGAGGCTTTAATAAATTATTAAAGCCCTAAATAAATCAATGACTAAGCTGTAGAGATGGCTCAGAGGTTAAGAGCACTGGCTGCTCTTCCAGAGGTCCTGAGTTCAATTCCCAGCAACCATATGGTGACTCACAAACATCTATAATGAAATCTGGTGCCCTCTGCTGGTGCGCAGGCAGAACACTGTATACACAGTAAATAAATCTTAAAAAAAAATAAAACAAAGACTAAGTGTCATAGACATACATAGAAAGATGGATTTTCAACTGAGAAATTTTCTCCATCAGATTAGCCTCTTAGTGGGGTAATTTTTTAATGTTTGGTTTGGGAGGAGCCATCACTGGGCAAATAAAGCCTGGTTACAAGCCAAGCAGGAGAGGGAAACAAGCCCTGTTTCTCAGTGGTCTCTGCTTCAGTTCCTGTCTCTAGATTCCTACCTTTAAATTTGTGCCTTGATTTCCTTGATTATGAACTATAATAAATAAAGCCTGTCCTCCCCAGGCTGCTTTTTCGGTCATGGTGTTTATCATAACAACAGAAGCAAACCAGGACACTGACATCGATTTTCACAGTGAAAGAAAGAATTGCTTTTTTTTCTTTTTAGACAGGATCTCCTTGGGCTAGAACTCATACTCTTCCTGGTTCAACCTTCTGAGTAGAGGGATTACAGACTTGTACCACCACGTTGGGTACAAGGATTCTGCCAACAGTGTTTGGAGACTCAAACTGCAGCTTTTTCTAACTCTGTAGTCTGTTGATCCAGTCCATTAGGTTTTGGACTTGCAATACTCTATAATCACAGGAGCCAATTTTTTAAAAATTATATCTATATATAATATCCGTGTGTGTGTGTGTGTGTGTGTGTGTGTGCGTGCTTCTATCTTTTTTTCTACACACACACACACACACACACACACAGCAAAAGTATTGGCCAGGGTGCTCGAGGAAAACAGCAGGGAAGTAGAGTCAACAGGATGCTTCCTTCGAAAACCCTCATATACTCTGTTCAACTTGGCTACTGAAGAAAGGAAATGAAGGAAAGCACACAATTTTCACCGTATCTGAAATCTGGGACAGTGCTAAATAAATTATCATTGTTCTTCGCCAAAGAATACAAGGACAATACAAAGCTGTTTCTTCGAGGCCACACAGAAATCCACACCCAGACATTCAATTAATTCTGGAAAAAGCTACCTTCTTTTATCCCTTCTCATTTTCCATACATGTCATTTAAAAATGGGGCTTCAATTCTGCAAAGCTTAAGAGATATTCAACTCCCCAAAACTCACCTGTCTGAATGCCTGCATTGATCCTCTTTCTGAATTAAGTTGGACCTCCAAGCTGTTCATGAGGTGATCCATATCTAGAAAAGACACAAAGGGCAAACAGCTTTCAGAACAATGCTGACCCCATTATATGCATAGAGTGTGACATGTACACTTGGTTTCACCCATCCATTCTCTACAAACAGTTTTTCAGACGAAACTTATGCTAAAAAGTTATTAGAACATTCTAAGTTAATCTACTCAAGGAAAAGACACTGGCTGCCTACATACTATAAGTACTTCCCTTCCTTCATGTAAGTGAACCTATTTCTACAAACCTCTCCAACCTGTCCTGTTTCAGTGATTATCAGCATACTTCTATAGTTCCAAAATATTTCCGATCCTGGTCCTGTCTTTGTTTTCACTAAGGACTTTTAACTACTATTTATGTGAGTAATATATGTACAAAGACAAACCAACAAACCATTTTTGTCTATGCATTTTAAATCTGTAAGTCAAGCATAGCTAAAAGCAGTTTTCCTCTTCCTCTATACTATACATAGCTGTCCCTCTTACGAAGAGATGGTGTTGATAGCTTCATTTCAATACCTTGAACCATCAGTCATCTTATAAAAAGCACCTACATTTTCCTCTGGAATGGCTTTTGTTTGCTTTATCTACAGTTCAGTTTCACCAGAGAGGAAAACAGGGGCCAAGGAAACAAAGCAAAATCTACAGCTTACCTACAAATTAGCCAGTCAATTTCAGATCATACTTGTGCCTCCTCCACCCTGTCCTATCTTAACCCAGAGGAACCAAACAAAGGAGACCAGACAATAGATGCCTTGCAATTAGTCCTAGCTAGAAATAACAACTAGCCAAGGATGCTATGAATGCAAAGGAAATAATTCTGCAACACTTGTCCAGGCTTTCCTGGCAGCAGTCAATCAAATGCTTCTAGTTACGAGTGCCCCCTTTGGGTTACAAGAGCATTATCTGACATAACCCTTCTTCTACCTCCACACCTCTTTCTCAAGTTAGGAACTGGAAACCACTTAGCTAGTCCTCCCAGCACCTCAAGTTAGGAACTGGAAACCACTTAGCTAGTCCTCCCAGCACCTCTCCCTTCAAGTTACCGTTACCACTCCAGTGTGTTTCATACGCAGCCTCTGCAGCTTTAGTTCACGCTTTCCTACATTTCCCAACTCTTGTTTTTACTAAGAAGCCCTCCCCTCCCTCCATTCTTTACTCCCTTTTTCTTTCTGTGAGAGTAAGGCAGGGTTTTATACTGTAGCCTAAGATGGCCTGGAACTCACTGTGTGGCTCAGCCTGGTTTCAAACACAAGCAAATGCTCCTGCCTTACCCTGGTGAAAGCTGGGATTACAAGCCTAAAATACCAGCCCTGACCCCTTGCTCCTTTTTTTGTCAGCATTATGATAAGCCTTCAGAAATTTGTTGAGCATCTATTATAGTTTCAGATAATGTCCTTGGTCCTTAGACTACATCCAGGGGTGTGTGACAAGAGCTTCAATTCTGTTAGAAGTCAAAGTTTTCCAAGCTCTGGTCCTAATTGTTCTTATTCCTTAGTATACACTTCCCCCACTGATTTAACCCTGGGAGGCTCTATTGAAGCATTACGGCTCTGCAAACGATAATGTGAAATCCTGTAGTTCTAGACGGACAAATCGCATTTTACAGAGAAAAACACCTTTTTCATGTCAGAAAATGTGATTCATAGGCTCAGATCAATATCTCTGCTGCATTTGCTTTGTGCCCATATGCTTGACTCACCTAGAGTCCAAATTGGTAGTATTATGCCTAGTATAGCCTCTGAATTTTCAAATGAAATTGGAGACAACAATTTTAACTGTCAAAATTGTCTAAATTTTGATAGTGGCTCAGAAGTTTTCTTTTATATTTCCCAAGGAGGTTCCTTGCGTATTATTACTGCTTTTCAGCTAGAAATGATTTCCTAATTTCCTGATAATCAATAGATGAAATAACTGATTTTAAGTTCAATGTTTACTTTTTATGTTGTTATATCTTGGCTCCAAATATGCAAACCACCCTCTCCCTACTGCATTTGCCTTCTTCTTTTCCTTTCTTTTCATTGAGATGGGGGTCTCACTATGTTGTAATCCATGCTAGCCTGGAACTCAGAACAACCCCCTCCCCCGCCTTGGTTTCTGAAGTACTTGGATTATAAACACCACCAGCTCAAAATTTTGTAATAATCAATTTTGCATCAACAACAAATTGGGCAAGAATTCTGAGTTCCTTATGATAATAACAGCACTAGCACATAGATTATTGTAGGTTTCTTAAGTAAATAAATGTACAAGAGAGCTAGGCAGTGATGGTACACACCTTTAATTCCAGTACTCAGGAAGCCAGGGGCAGGTGGATCTCTGAGTTTGAGACTAGCCTGGTTTACACAGAAAAATAAAGGGGGGGGGGAGCATGTTTTAGAATTTTGAGATTCCATTTTTTTAAAGTATCACCTATATTTTTATTACTAGAAAAATAAAGAACCGTAGCACATATATATTTTGCACTTCACTTTATTATATGTCTTGTAAGAAAATAGAGAGTCAGGGCAGTGCTGGAAAGGGGTTGCTTCTGAGTATCCACTGTGGTGGTTGGACTAGGTACCTCAGATGACGATTTTTAAGCCCCATTTTCTCTTACACAACAATAAAAGTGACACTACTGTTAACGCCATACACACGAAAGGAAATACAGGATCAAAGCGATTAAGCAATGCTAAAGCCATGTAAGATGGAAATGATTGCGCTGGGATTTGAAACCAGCTCAATACAAAAGTTCTTTTTCTACCTAAAAATACTTGAATGTTTTCTTCTAGAGATGGCATGGCTATTACACTCATGAACTCACAGCAGCTATGGTTACCTACACAAGACCTACAAAAGTTCAGCAGGAATGGAGAAACCCACAAGGCTTGGCCTCTAACTAAGATGCTATTGTTGCTGAGTCAGAGAAACATTCTTTGGGGGTGTGGCCATTAGTAGGTAGCATCCGCTCCCTCCAGTAGATGGCTCCACATCCATGCACATATCAGGAGCACTGAGTAGACTTAGTGTTTTTTTTTTTTTTTAAAAAAGAGGAGGAGAAAATGAAGTTGGGATGGCATTCGGAGGAAAGTTGGAAAGAGGGAAATGAGAGGTGGATATGTACATATTTCATTATATACATGTATAAAATTCTCAAAGAACAAAATTTTTTAAATGAAAAAAATATGACAACCGTGGACTTTGGAATAGTTACGTAAAGTAGAAAACAAGAATGGAGGTCCTTTCATTCCGTCACAATAAGGTCTATTATTGACAAAGAGAGTAAAGGTACCCACTAATTGTGGGACTAATCATAAGACAAAATGTGCAGCAATCACAAGTGGCACACAGCACTTAAGTATCAATTGAGAAAAAGAATAAAAGGCCACAGCAGCAACGACTCAATGCTCTGAAATATATAAAATCTTACCTTATTCTATCATCTAATTACTTATGAGAAAATGGAATCTAGATTTTAAATGAAATCCAACTTCAAAATGTTGGCAATCAGCCAATTTTTAAGAGTATGAAATTAGGCAAAGTGCCTTCATGCCCCCCCCCATTCATGTGTGAAAGCCCTCACTCCTGAGCTATTAGAGATATGGCCTTTATGGAAATAATTAAAAGTAAATGAGGTCATACAGGTAGTGCTCTAATCACAGAAGATTAATCCCTTAAGAAGAAACACAGGAGAGTGCTGTCTCTTCACTTAAACAAAGGAAGACATTGGTTGAGTACACAGCAAAGAATGCAGCCATCTGGGAGTTAGGAAAGCGGCCCTCATGACACATCAGCCTATGCTGAAACCTTGATCTCTTGATCCTAGCCTCTAGAACTAGAAAAACAGAATTTCTGTTGTTTAAAGCACCCAGTTAGTGGTATTTTGTTATAACAACACTATATATACTACTTACTGAGTTTTCCTTCTTATTAAAGAATCGCTACAGACATCTGGAAATATCCCAAATGCTGATCAATAGAAGAGTGGTTAAATAAATCATGGCTTACTCATAGAGTAAAAAACTCTACAGCGACATAGAACAACGAGGCATTTTTATAAACCTATATGGGTCTTGAACCATATGAAATGTTACCTATTTAAAATACATCTGTTAAGAAAAAATAAACAATCTGTTAAATGAGAAGTTACAACAATTTTAGAGAAAACAAAACATTTGTATGAGCTGTAATTGGATATATTAAGCATTTGGTCTAAATTAAGGTTGCGGCAATTTTTAGGATAACAGAAAAGATGTTGGGGAACAAAGACAGGCAACAAAACAGTTAGCTAACTAGGTAGATAAGGAAACTAAGAAGGAAGAAAAAGCTTCTATTTTGTTCCAAAGACATGAGAAGCACAAATACATTTTCTGTTTATACTTTATGCTTTCACATATTCTTAAAGCATTTTGACAAAATGAATTTTCACAAGCATTTCACTGTGAGCAATATGTTCCTCACTGCCATTCAACCACAAGTAGTCTCTACAGTGATCTCCAATTCACAGGAGAACATTCAAATGCATAGTTTAAATAACTTCACCAAGGTAATGTTAATGGCAAGTTGTAGAACAAGGAAAGGGAAAGTCCTGAATGAGCAGCGGCTAACTCTAGTGGTGAAAATAGGCCCTATTTTAGAAGGTGGTGGTTACAACAAAATACCAAAATTTCAGCGGTTTGAAATAAGCTGCTTTTGGGAGAGAGGGGGCGCTGGTTTTTCAAGACAGGGTTTCTCTGTGTAGCCCTGAATGTCCTGGAACTCACTCTGTAGACCACGCTGGCCCCAAACTATGAGATCGGCCTGCCTCCCGAGAGCAGGGATTAAAGGAGTGCACAACCACAACCACCTAGCAGGTTTGCAGTATCTTAACATTATCTAGCGTTACATTATTGAACCTTCAAACTCTCACAGACTAGGGACGCAGTTCGGTGGCAGAACACTTATATATGCACGACCCTTAAATTCAATTTCCAGCACCACAAACAAACAAAAAACAAAATCCACGTTAGGCTTAAAAGAACCTAAATATACAGATAACATCTTTTAGCGTATTATATATCTAGTATGTTCTGGACATTTATAAGTAACTTCCTGCTCAATAATTTATATTTGTCCCCTTTAGGCACACAACATTAACAACATTAAAGTAAAGCACTCAAAACAGCAAAGTTGGTGAGACCAGTCACTTAAATACATTACTTACAACTAAAAAGGACCGTATCATTTTAGAAATAAGAGACTAGATGATGAAGTTAAATTGGGGTTAATAAAAAGAACAGAAACCCGACTTCTACTTATAAAATCTAAAGAAATAAAAAAAGAGTCCGTAAGTCAGAAAGAAAACCAAACGTGGTCTCACACCGTCCTCAGTCCAAGAGCCAACTCCCATCTATTCAGACTCTACTTAGCAGTTAAATTGTAACCACACTGGATGATCATTTAGGTCAATCACACCCATCAGTTTTCCCTTCACTTACAAAATATATGGCAGTAAGACCTTAGGCTCCCCGAGGCGGTGCTGGCGGTGGTGACTGCTTTTAATCCCAGCACAGGACAGAAGCAGTGGATCTCTGTGAGGCCAGCCTGGTCTGCAGAGTCAACTGCAGGACAGCCGGGACTGTTGTACAGAGAAACCTTGTCTCACAAAACTAAAAAAAAAAAAAAAAAAAAAAAAAAAAAAAGAGTAAGACTTTAGATGATAATCTACAAACTATGTACCAAATTGTTCCAAGGAAAAGGTGATTGGGTAAGTACCATGAAGGCACAGTGAGTGTCATGGAGTCTCAACAGAACTGGGGACTTAGTTCTGAATACAAAGAACCAAAATGCAGCAGAACTTTAAAACAAAATGAGCTTTAAAAATGCCTCAGTGCGCGGAGCGGTGGTGGCGCACACCTTTCATCCCAGCACTCAGGAGGTTGAGGCGGGAGGATTGCGAGCCAGGCCAGTCTGGTTACAAAGTAAGACCCTGTTGCTTTTGAAAAAAAAATTCCAATGATATACCAGATACTGGTTTCAATGTCCCAAAATACTAAGAAACAAACAAACAAAATACCATTTTTCTCCAGTTTCCAACATCCAGTATGTCAATTTGTAAATGAATTACGTATCCCCAAACTCTTTTTCCTTCACTTAACAATTTAAGTGAGCTCATAAAGTAGAAGTGACTCAAACCTAAGGTAAACATAAATGTCCTGAGCTGGAGGGACCTCTACATCTGAAGAGTGCTTCCTGCTCTTCTAGAGGACCCAGGTTTGGTTCCCCACAACCATGCTGGGCAGCTCACCATCACCAGTAATTCTGGTTCCTTCACACAAGCAGCAATTTACTCATTTAGACACATAAAAAAGCACATAAATAAACATAATAAAAATATAAATAAGAAAATAAATAAAACATCTAAATGTATCAAACATTAATAAGCCCCTGCCAGAGTACAATAGCGTGAGTGCCCAATCTCTACCTCCTCACATGGAAACAGAACATTCTGGAAAGACTAATAATATCTAGTCTTGGTACCTTGGCAATAAAAAAAAAACAAAAACAAATAGCAGACCCACTAAGAGCCTCATCTCTGAAATGCATATACCAGAAAAATAAGGGTAGTTGTGGCCATCATTTTTCCCACCAATTTTCTTTCCTCTGAGATCCGAAAGCAAGAGGGTTCTCTAGCATTCTGATGACGTGAAGTCCAACGGGTCTGGAGAACAGACTGAACATGTCACTTACACTTCGGAAGGTAGAATTCTACCACCCTGTATTTCTGCCTAGTTGCCCTCTAAAACTAACCTGAAGACACGCTGTGCCTAGACTGTCTCACCAGCAGTTAGCAAGGATTAATGTCTCTCTTATAAGGGTTACCCCCAAACTTTGAAGAAGAGGATGAAATCATTTCTGAATCACTGGTTTGCTGTCCAAAGGTCCTGTTGGTTACATCATATGGTTAAACTGACCAAAGAATCAGAAGATAGGCAGATTAGTGGCCTTTTTTCTTGCAGCTGATAAAATCCAGTGAGAACAATGTTAAATCACAAATAAGACATATATTCCAGCCTGTCTTTGTGCAAACTACTCAAACTGCACAGGTCTTCGTTCCCTTCGACTGAAATGTGTTTTAAGGACGGCAAAGTAATAATTCGGCTAGCAGTACTCCAGCGGGAAAACCACGAAGAATAGAAAAGGAAAGTGGAAATCAGAGCAAGTACTAGCAGCGTATGTCATGTATATCTCCTGAGTGAGAATTTCCAATATGCATCCTACAGAGGAGAAAAGCAAGGTTCGTGCTCATGCAACCAGTTAGTGGTGGTAGTAGGCTTTCAAAGTAGATCTTTTTATTACCCCAAATCAACAATCTTCAGCTTACAATCCAAATTTAAATATTATTCTCTCTTTTCTCTGTCACTATTACACTAAGTGGCATATAAATACTTTATATATTTTTTTCGCACTGACAGTAATATTAGAGAAAATAAGGTATTGTTCTCTTGGCCACCTGTTAGGATGTGATTTAGTTTCTTCAAAATTCTTAAGGCCAAAAAAGTACAAAAAAGCTTCACCTTGTAGCTAAGCAAATCCTTTCGCTCCAGTAATCACAGCAATGCTGGCTGATCATCCACCTACAGGAACTAACCTCTTGGCCACATCTTAAGGAGCCTAGACTGGGCTATGCTTTGGCTTCCTACTGCAACCAAGCTCAGCCCCCCGAAAAAGAGCTGGCACACCCTAACCAGCTCCTCCTCAGAGGTTCCTTGAAGGGGGTCTTGCCATTAGTACCAAGAGACCAGGCTCCCAACTTAACTCTTCGCTGCCCCTCCTCCAGCTTTCGAGAAGCATCTCTACCTGCTACTGCTTGGGGGAAGGGAGGAGTGACGTAAGTGGGATCAGTAAGTGGGATCACTGGTCTTCCAAATCCTCTTCTCTCTAGCTGAGACTTTAGATATATGGGGTTAAAACAAACCACTTAAAAAGAATTGAGAGCACCGAGACAGGAGAGACTGAACTAGACAAACCTATCCATTCTTGTTCCCTTTCAATTCTTCCACAAGGCCCCCCGAAGTACCCCCTCCTCTTAGTCTCTCTTCACAATCCTTAAGGGAAATCATTTTCCCTTGAGTTTAATTTGATTCCACATAATGTTCTTACCCCTTCCGCTCACACGCCCCCCATCCCACTTCACTGCTAAAATCCAAAGCCAAGTGGGTGTGTGCGGTTGGCGGCGGCGGCATCGGTGGTGGTATCGGTGGCGGCGGGAGGGGGAGAGTTAGAACCTAGACTGAGGACAGGAGAGTGGGTTCTTTCCCGAGTCACTTACCGCCCTTGTCTCTAGCTGAGGACTCCTGAAGTGTCCGGAGCTCAAGCAGTCCTCCCGGAGACTCTTACTCCTGAGCTGATCTCAAGACAGCTGTTACCCTCGCACCCGCCCATGTCTGACAGCGCGCCTGGCAACGCGCTTTAGCCTCCTCTTCCCTGGTCCCCCACCTCTCTGTTTTCTCCGGGCTGGGAAAGGATGGGAGAAACGAAAAAGGGAGGGAGTCGATTCAGACCCAGCTGGGCCACCCTCAGAACAAGGGAAACAAAGCTTTCAAGCATCCAAGCCCCGAATCGGGGCGGCAGAGCAGACTTCCTAAAAAGAATCCTCCCACTGCAGCCTTCCCTGTGCTAAAAATACAGCGGCTTCTCCGGGGCGAAGTGGCCAGCGCTAAAGCTCCTGCGTTCCCCTTTTACCTCAACCGATTCAGTTCCGGCCAAGCCCATTCTCCACCCACCTCAGAACTCCTCACGCCCTCCCCGAGAAAGCTGGGGCGGGGTCCCGACCAAGCACCCAAACCTCAGATCACGACTTGAACGCAAAGTTGAGACGGAGAAGGAGTCAGTGAAGACCCACAAGCAGACAGCGCCAGAGGACCCCTCTCCCCACGCAGCGGTTAGCGCTGCACACCCGGCGCCTTCCTAAAAAGAAAGGAGGAAAAGGCGCCGGCAAATGGTCGAAACATATAGGAAAACACCAGCCCAGGGCAGGAGCTCCCACGCGAGTGGGAGGCACTCCCGCCGGACCGCGCCAGAGAGACTTCCCGGTGGTACCTGGCCGCCCCACTGGTACACCACGCCCGTGGGGTCAGAGCTTGGCGCGCTCGCCGGGCAACCTGAGTAGGTGGAGTGTTTAGCTCTTTCTCTGGCAGACTAGGCCCAGAAGAGAGGTGTGACTACCATGAGGACTCCACCTAGGGTGGAGTTCCTTAAAAGGGACAAGTGGCCGCTAGAGGGGAGTGGAGTAGGAGGGGGTGGAGATGGGTGGGGCAGAGAAGGCGGAGGGACAGGAGACGGGGTGGGGCGAGACCTAGGAGCTAGGAGCTGGCCTCGCCCCTGGCGGCCGCGTCTGTTGGCCTCCTGCAGCAGCAGGTACAACTGAAATCAGTTTCAGTGAATACTCAGTCCCTGACGGGTTTTCGGACACCCTACATGCTCACCTATCCACCAGGATTTAAGCTCTCTAGGGGAGGATGAGAGGGTGTGGTGACTAGGAGTAAGGGATCTCCAGGAAGAAAAGGATGCGGAATAGGGAGTGTCAGAAAGATGGTAACTGTAAGAGGATTTTTACCCTCCCAGTTCTCCATGGCAACGCGTGACACTAGCAAGGACAAGAGGGGTCACAGTGTCTTTTTAGGGAGGACGCTTAAGAGGAAAGGAGATTGGAGCTGAGTGCATTTTCTAGCAATAGATAAGAGAAGGTGAGAGTGAAGGAGAAGGTGGGAGAAATGAGTTGAAGATGAATTCCTAACACCTTGTGGCCCTGGCAGGGAGAGTTCAGAGAGGCTTTCTGAGTCTCCCAGCTACCAGCTCTCTAAGAATAGAGTTCTCAACCCCCTGAGACCGCCTCTCCGCCAAGCATTGGCTAACATCCCTGAAGAACTGAATCCATAGACTAGAAGCCACATTTCCAGCATTTTTTGCCCTTGCCTTAAAGTCCTTCTCTAGCTCATTTTAATGGAAACTCATGAAGTCACAGATAACCACAGCCTCCTTCCAGTGTCTCTTCCCTAGCACAGTTCTTTCAAAGGGGAAGGAAAAGAGAGAGAAGGAACAAAGGAGAAGAAGGGAAGGAGCAGCCAAGCAAAAGGAATAATAATAGGTTCCACGTTTTCAGCACCTCATATGGGCAGTTCACTGGGCCAGGTACCATTATAGTCATCCATTTTCCTTTATTCCTGGTAACAACCCTGGAAAGTAGGTAGCATTATATTTTTATGCCCCGTCAGAGAGTACTGGGGATTGAATTCGGGGCCTGGTGTATTCTAAGCAAGCACTCTACCACTCAGCTGTATCCCCAGCTCATTTTTGGTGTTATTTGTTTGAGACAGGTAGTCTTACAATGGAGCTCAGGTTAATGTTATAGCCTAGGCTGACCTCAAACTCACCAGTCTCCTGCCTCAGCTTCATTAGTTCTGAGTTTACAGGCATGCACTGTCACACCCAGCTTCTTATGAAAAAGAATAAGGAAACTGGGGGTCACAGCTCAGTATGTGCCCCGCAGGTAGGTCCATTCTCTTAACTGCTCTTCTGTTCAGATGCGTTTTTAACATCTCGTTTTCCTTCGCTCCCCAAACAATCTCTTCTCCCACTGGTAGTTCAGCGACCACCTGAACATTCAAGGCAACACCTCGGAATCCTTCCACTTGCTGTGATGATCCAGAGGCTGCCTTTATCTTAAGCAGCAGCGGTTTTGCTGTTCTACTAGATCTTACCCAGATTCGAAATCTCTGATAATCCCAGGCTTTTTCCAATCTTGGGGGCATAAAACACTTTACCTTCTCTATCTGAAGTGGCCCTTTAAACTCTGTCTTACGTTTTTAAAAGGACTGACTAAAGGTCATCCCCTCTCCTTATTTAATTCGCTCAGGAAGAACTGACCATTTCCTGCTGCACCTCTAGGTTTGTTATAACGGCTTCTCCTTATTACTGCACCATAATGTCCTGGAGGTTAGGCATCAGATGTTACTCTGTCTGTAATGTATGTGCTGGGTATTATTATCAATAATAGTTATCAAACAGTAGCTATGCTGAACTCTGTGCTATCACTATCACCTTCCTGTGTAGAAACCAAGGAACAAGGATTAAACAGCACATATATGTACTTGCTACGTGAAAGAATGTCCCTGTAGTAGGAGCTTTTATAAATGCCTCTTTCTATACACTGTATTTCCACTGCTGCCCACAGCCCTATCCTGCTTACAAGGTAAGACATGCTAAGTGAAAGTCATGCAATACAATGTACAACTGTACGTATTCTTTTTTAAAAGGGGCATTTTATCCCTTGAATTCTTATGTTCTTAATGTATAAAATCTGGGGAGTGTTGCTAAAAAAAATATTTTTCATTAGTCCAAGACTATCCTCAGTAATGTCAGACGGTTTTAGATTCAAGGATGTAAAACTTTTTTTTTTTTACCAAAGACTAATATATTTTTGTGATGTGAAAAATAGAGACAGGCAGACTTCTGTAATACATTCCAACGTCAACCGCCACTAGAATTCTTTATTTATGCTAGGTATACTCTTTGGTAATCATGAATTCTTTATTTAATCTATGCAGGCTCCTCAAGAAGTTGTGTCCATTTGAAGATAGTAAAACAATCTATCCTCTTGCTAAAAGTGATTTATTTTAGACTCCTGTTTTTTGTCTGCCTCACCTGTTGTTTGTATAGAAAACATTGTATCAGATTGCCAAATTCTGTTTTTGGGAAAAAGGTCAATTATTAAGCCTTAGGTAAATAAACTCAAGATTCTTTCCCATCCATTCCTCCATCCATTTAGTCAACGAAACATGCTGAGTACCTATGCCATAATAAGAAGCACGTTGAGCATTAGAAGGAGAAATAAAACCTCCCATTCTTTCCCCAGGAACTCCAGTGTAGGAGCCCTTGACTTCAAAACACCCAGTGTTTTGGTTCACATTTTTCCTTTGAAGTTTTTAGATATGATATCTGTCTTGCTTGAAGGAACTATGTACCCCAGCACCACAGTTCATTGTAAAGATGGAGTTTTTCTTGGTATTGTCTCTGTTGTTTTTCCATAATGTGGACTGAACCCAGTACACTGTGTATGTTTGGTAAGCACTTCTCACTGAGCCACACCCAACCTTGTCCTTTGCCACTTGTCGCATCAATAATCAGCACGCCACTTATGTCAGATGGAAAGTTGTGAGGGAGCAGACATGAAAAAGATGCAGTGTTTCTTCCTTGTAGGAAGCACCTCAGGCTCCCCTTTTCTTAGGTGGCTTAAGAAATGCATAAAGCAAATAGCAACAAGTATCTTCAACTTGTTCCATTCCACCCAAAGCATAAGGGAGACTGAGTACTTGAGAAAGTCGCCTAAACGCTCCTCTACATCACAGGGGGAAGGTGAGAGTTAAATTATATACTGAACTTAATGAAAGATGGCAGAAAAGCCTGCAGACACCCAGGTCTCACAAGATGCTGCTCTTTGCTGCCCTTCTTCCTTTTCACTCTCCTGACTCTCCTCTTCTTCCAGAATGCAAGCCAACAAACTACCAGGGTGGAGCCCGGAATGAGGGCTAGAGGGAGAAGAGGAGGAAAAGCCTCAGGAAGAGGTCTCCACCCTCCCTGCTCCCAGCAGAACAACAACAACAATTTAAAATACTTGAAGAGCTGGGGCTAAGGAGAAGGTGGGGCAGAAAAAAAAAGGGCAGAAGAGGATGATGAGGAAGGGTGGAGACCAGGGAGGGGACTTAAAGGGTCAGCAGTGTAGAGAAGCCTGGGGGACAAGGAGGCAGTAGTACATAAGCAAAAAAAAAAAAAAAAAAAAAATCAGCCCTCTTATGATATTGTTGTTCCTGGGACAGCAAGAATATTGCCAAAACCAGTGCTTAGCTCAGACCTAGTGGGAACAAAATCGCCCCCCTCACCCACTTTTTTTTGCTCTGCAGTTCCCCAGGGGGTATAATCTCCCTGCAAGCTTAGCTGGTCGCAGACCTTTTGCCTCCCTGCTAGTGGAGGGGCAGTGTTGAGTTCCTCCCATGGCTCAGAGGACATCACGAAGGTTACTGGCAGCAAAGGATAAGGACAGTAAGGAAGAAGGATGTCTATTTAGATGAGAAGAGAAGAACCTGGGGGGGAAAAAAAAAAAAACTTGGTCTGTAAGCTGTGCAAAGGTGAGCAAAAGCTTTCACGTCTCTAAACACCAGTTTCTACAGCGATTTCTTTTACAGAGATACTGTTAGCGCTGGCTTCACAGAACTGTCAAAAAGATTAAATAAGACACAGAGGAGGCTTTGCAGTGACTAGTGAATTTAAGCTTTGGGGCTTCTTTCCCAGAATGGAAGGAATCAAACTGTTTTTCCCGAAAGTCTCCAGAGTTCTATCAGCAATCAGTCCCTGAAAAACCTACCTCAGCCCAAGGAGATTACCGCCTGCAAAGCACAGTGCTCTGCACAAAGGAAGCTCTCAAAGGTTAACTAGTGTTACTCTTAACAATGGAACCTCTGAACTCTGAGTCTCCTTTTTGGCCACAGAGGTTGAAGCAGTGACCCGTATTCTTTGTATTTCCTCTCCTTATACACATAAATACACTAATTTACAAAAATAGCAACCAAAGTGCTTG